TTATTTTATATTTTAATCTGACATATTTTGATATAAAAAATAAAATATCTCGTAAAATATTTAGTTTTCGATAATCTTACCGTAATACTTTTATGTACAGAATAATGAGACAAATCAATTAGTGTAAAGAAAAAAACAAATAATTGTTTTAAAAAATACATTGTAAATAATTACATACTTTTTCTTAAAAACAATTATTTTTTTTTTTACTAAATATTTTTACTAAATATTTTTACTTTCATGTGGCCCCCTCGAAACCATGCAACTTTTGTCTGAAACATTTTTTGATATCTCACTTCGTTTCCGAAAAATATGCCCGCGTCACTATAAATCCGCACCCTGTATATACAATCATTTTTTTGTCACTGCAATTCTTATTACTGTGATATTCTGGATAACTTGTACAGCAATCTATCATGTTTTACAATATATTGCAGTTTAATATGGAATATAAAGTTACTATTTTTTTATATTCTATAATTAGTTTCAAAAACCTAATATAATTTTTTTGCTTTCTATTGTAAAACAAAAAGTGTCATGTTATTTCTCTCATTTGTAAGATCTTATGAATATATAAATAAAAATTAAACATTTATATTATGATTCATTTTATATTATTTTGTAATGTTTCAAACATATGTAAATTCACACTTTAAAGATATAAATTTTCTTTTTTTTCTTTTCTCTCTAAATTCTCTCTCTCTCTCTCTCTCTCTACTTAAGAAAACTCCTTTTCTTCTCACTATATAATAATTAAATATATATTTATATTAGAATATTGAAAATATTATGAAATATATATAATACAATTGTTATAAAGTAACTTTATTTCAATAGAATCTAAATTACATTTTATGTGGAAAGTCTAATTTGATATATATATTATAAGTTTAAGATATTTTGATACAAAAATATATATATAATTTAGAATGTGTTCATAGATAAATAAGCAAAAATAAAAAAAAAAATTAGTAATGAAAATTGGTGCAATTTATAATTCTAGTTATTGTGCCATATATAAATAATCCCAAATATGTTAGAATACAGAATACATTAATTTTTTTTTATTATGAAATATGTTCAGCTTACTATTAAACAAGAAAAGCATAAGAATTAAATTTAATGCATGATGTAAATTGTGAAAATTATGTATAAATTTTCATATTTGAATACAGTTTTAATCATCATCAGAATCATCTGAATTGTGTCCCTTAATGGTCTTAGGCTTTGAAGGTTTAAATATAAATGGCTTTTTGCCAGTTTCTGAAAAATGTAAATCATCATCATAATTGATTACACCAGATTGTGCTAGACGACACTGCAACGTTTCTGTAGAAAAATCATCGCAATTCCCTAATTCAGTAAAGCCTACAATATAATCCTTAGTTTTACCATTTACAATTAGCGTGATTGTAGGTATAATTTTAATCCGTAATCGTCCTGTAATGTATAAATATGCATTATATATAACAAATATACTATATTGCTACAATATTTTAGACAGATATCTTAATAATACCAGTCAAAAATGGACATCTTTCTACATTTAATTTACAGAATCTTGCTTCAATGTGTCTTTTTGCAAGAATCTTGAAATGATAATCTACAATTTTACATCGTTGAGAATCATCTTTATAAAATAAACAGGCGATATTTTCTGACTTTTTGGATATTTCAAAGAATTCTTTCTCATCATATATCTCTGTATATTCTCCATGACCCTGTAATAATATATAATTATATATAACATACTATATTTTAATATACATTTGAATATTTCTTTTATTTAACACATATTATATAACATTTCCCTTTAATGCAATATTAGAAATCTAATAATAAATATCATGTGTGTTTTTTTTTACATATATCATATGTTACTATTTTTTGATATGTTAATATTTTTCTTACATATATCATGATATATTACCAAAGATAGCCAATTCTGTTTTTGTTTTTGCATTTGCTTCAATTCATTTAATCTGTGTGCACGTATCTTCTCATAATCACTGATATCCAAATTATCTAATTTTTCCAACTCTGCATCCAATTGCTGCTCAACATGATTGGCAACATCTATGACTTTTTGTTGAAGTACAGCCTCCATTTCTGTCAGAGAAATATTTGTACATTTTACATCTATTAGATTTTCGCCAATATTATGTAATTAAAAACTAATTATGTAAAATACAAAAAGATAGTTTTCAAAGCTATTAACATTAAATATGAAATTAAAAATATGATTAAAAGAAATATTGTCATTAATTAATTTTGATAAAGTTTATCACTCACATTTAATGTCACAAAATTTTGTTCTTTAATATAGTGAGAATTTAATCAACTCGACTTTTAATTCACTATTATTTTCTTCTATAAATTTCTACGTTCTGGCGAGATAAAGTATCACGGTTGAATTCACTTTTCACCTCGAAAAGTTAAGGAACTTAACCATATATAGAAGCAAAGAGCAGAAAGCAGTTGGTTTCACTCTCGTTCCGCGTTACGCTAATCCGCGTTTCCGCGCTCCATGTAATGGCACCCTTACTCTTCCTTCATGAGCAGAACTACTAAACTCCTTGTACCAGAGAGGCAATGTTGTTCTCGGGGACGCTTCCTCGCGCATGCGCGTTAAACATGGCCTTAAGGTGCCTTTACATGGCAGCGTCAAGCGTCGAGCGTCTGCGTAGAAAATTGCGCAGAATCTAATTTCAGCCTAGAATCTATCTCTTTTAAATTCTGCGCATTTTTCTGCGCAGACGCTCGACGCTTAATGCTGCCATGTAAAGGTACCTTAAAGACCGTATTACACTACGGTTTGCGGGCTCGGTTGCGGTTGAGGGTACCGTTGATGTTTGCGGATTGACCAATCAGAGCAAAGCAGCTTGTCGGCTGATTGGTCAATCCGCAACTGTCAACCGTAACTCCAACCGCAACCAACCTCCTTAGTGAAATACAACTAATAAAGTAGAAAACAGGAAAAAAACCCAAATACGGACGTGTTTAAAATATTGTTTTTTTTTGTTTTTGGTTAGACTCGATTGCACATGCGCACTATAGTGGCGCCATTTTACGCGGCGCCATATTATTATACATGGATGAAACCAGAGAGAAGAATGAGAGTCGCCACGCTGCCGTTTTTCGTGTAACGCTTTTTCTAGGTCGTACACTAGCGTTACGTACATCCATTTTACGTCGCCTGGAACTACATGGCCACATCCATTTTCGGAGCCGATAAAACAGCCGATTGGTTCATGTCCGTGCTACATCCACTTTTCGATTTTGGTTCATATCCGTGCTACATCCACTTTTCGATATTGTCGATGCTGGTAGTACAACTGATCGTTTGACAAAGAGA